TCGGTGGCATCCTTTTATATTAAAAAAAATTTCTCTTTTAATTAATTGGACTACCCGGTTCAAACATAGCTGGCCAACCAGATTAAATGGGTCAGCCTTATTTTGCCAGTTCTAAATATCCTTAATGTAAATGAAAAGGAAAAAAAAAAACAGTAAACTATCAACTTAGTCAAATATTACTCTTTTTCCTAAATAGTTTTTAAAGTTCCGAATATAAATAATTTTTCAAAGTATTGAAAATTCATCATTTTAGTCTCTATTATAATATATTTTTGCTAATATTAAAGGACTAATTTGAATTTTTTTTAATACTTTAGACTCCATATATCATATCTTTAATAACCACTTATATAGTCTAATTACTTTGAGAACTAATTAAGAAAGATGATAATATTTGAAGGAGCGAATTGATGATTTATTTATTATATAAGAAAAATATGGAAATATATAAATATTTTAACCAGCTCATATCTTATTTATCGTTGTGCCTGCCGTACTCAACAAAATGTCTTAAATTGTATAAAAGCCAATTGATAATTGAATGTGCTCCGACACTTTATGCGTGTTTGTATTAACATCGCCCATCTTCAAGTCAAGGCCCTCTCTATTTTCTTAAATATTTAAGAATCATTGCATCCATGGCCAAATCTTGCATTTCTCAGGCTGTTGCACATGTACCTAATTATTGTGAAATGTCTTGTAGCTTTATTACATAAGGACTGTTCTCAGTTAGTGTTAGAACGTCTTACAAATAGTAGTACCTTTTAACCAATGAATTGTGCTATTACACATGAAGGCCCAATTTACCACTATTTCAGAATAAATCAACATTGTTACATTGTGATTGTGAATCTCTCGACTCATACAGAATGAATATTTAAATAAACGATTTCATGATCCCACATCACATGTTACTTTAGTGAAATTTACCTCATGAGGATTTTTTTCTTCATTGTTGTTGGTATGTATATGATATATTTTGAAATAGATTAATCTTTTTTTAGTAATTATAATTTTATCGAATTTACTTTTTTAATTCATATAGTTAAAAATAAACAGTTTTAGTTCCTAAATTTATATTTTAAAATTATTTTTGATCTTTATTGTTAATTTCTTTGTAATATTGTTCTCATACGAGTGACATGAATTTATTATATCTACATGATAGGAATGAATTTAATTTTTTGAGTGACCACATATTATTTAATAATAGATTTAATAATAATAATAAGTCTACGTAAGTTATACATTACCGTCCAAAACAATCAGGTAGTAGCTTCAGCAACGAAGGCTGACAGTACTCTCGTCTAGATCAGGTTCCCAGGGCTTGGAGTTATGTTTTATGATGAGAGTGTTCTCCTAACAATTGCATCAGCCATAGGGAAACCAGTAAAGGTGGATCTGAATACTCTAAACATGACACGGGGCAGGTTTCCAAGGGTCTGTGTCGAGATCAATCTAAATGAACCAGTCGTAGGAAGATTTTTCCTCAATGGTGTTTGGTATAACGTGGAGTATGAGGGCTTACATCTGTTGTGTTCGTCGTGCGGCTGTTATGGGCACGTTCTACGAAACTGTCCACATATAGCTCGGCCTGTGCCAACGACAAACGGCGTGGGAGAGAAGGAGGTTGTGGAACAGCCGTCAAGGGAAGCAATGTGCAATGCAGATTACGTTGCTCAATCAGGAGAGCAATCCACTCTGCACGCAAGGGGGACAATCACGCCAGATCCGCATGGGGAATGGCTGATCGTGAAACGGAAAAATCGGAAACACAATCTCGGGAAACCGTTGAGCAAGGGGCGATCTTCCTCTCATTATGGGACTGCGGAAAATAAGGAGAAGATTCAGGCCCTTCCGAGTTACCCTACGCGAGGAATCCACATTGAGGCCGAATCACGTGAGGTTTTTAAAAACCCACGTGCAGTGACAGGGACTCCAAGTGAACGTGAACAGGACCATGCAAGAGTGAATCAACGTGCAGTGAAAGTGAATCCAAGTGAGTGTGAACAGGACCATGCGCGAGTGAACCAACGTGCAGTGAAAGGGAACACGCGTGAAAGTGAACGTGAACGGGAACGTGAACGTGTTGATATAGGCCACGTGACGCCTGTGAATCAAAACGAAATGAGCTCCAGTAAAGATACTAAAAAACGTAGCAGAGTGGAGGACATTGGTGCCCGCCCACGGCCCACTCTAGATGGCGGTCTCATGTTATCTGATGGCATACTTCATAAGGGCCGCAGTTCGCAAGAGAGTCCTCCTCTTGGCAGCTCACGAGACGTGCACGAAGGACTCACTGGGAACCTGCATATGGGCTTGGCCTCCAGTGCACTACAAACCGGTTGCAAGACCCTTGTACTTCATGAGTCAGAGGACAGTGGACAAGACATATTGGGGACGGAGGATGTTATGAAATATGACCAGCTGTTGGAAGAGGAGGCCATGATGATGTAAGTATCCGTTGAGTTTTGATTTATTTTAATGTCTACAAATTTCAATATCTTGAGTTGGAATATTAGAGGGGCTGTTAATGCCAAAGGTAAAAAGAGGGTCTCGGAGTTAGTAAGGCTCCACCACCCGTCTATTTTTATTGTCTTGAAAACACATTGCCAGTTTTCTTCGGTGGCATCCTTTTGGAAAAAGTTGGACTATAAGTTGTGTTATAGCATTGAGGCTACGAGGCATTCTGGGGGTATTTGGGTTTTGATGGCATTGTCTTGCTCTACTACTACCTCAGACTTTGCCTCTCACCCTTAGGCCATCTCGTTTACGGTTGTTGAAGGGAGCAAGAGCTGGGTATGTACTGTCGTTTATGCTAATCCTCGGGTGGAACTCAGACAGCAGGTTTGGGCTCATCTTCGGGAGTTGGGGGGACAGATTACGCTTCCATGGCTAGTGCTTGGGGACTTCAATGAAATTATGTTGTCAACGGAGTATCGTGGGGGTCGTTTCTCGATGGCACGGGCATCACAGTTTCTAGAGGTTTTGAATGATTGCAATCTTCTCGATATGGAGGCTAAGGGCCTTCGCTTTACGTGGTATCGAAATCAACGAGGGGTTGTGCTGGCAAAGCGGTTAGACCGTGTGGTGTGCAATGTCGCGTGGCAAGCAATGTTTCCGGAAGCATATGTTGAGAATCTGTGCCGGGTCTATTCTGATCATTGCCCACTTTTACTACGGCGTGACGGCTCAAGAGACAAGTCTCCGGATCGACCCTTTCGGTTCCAAGCTGCATGGGCCACCCATAAAGATTTTGAGCGAATTGTTAGGGAGGCGTGGTGTCGTAGCACGCCGACCCTTGTTAATGGGCTACAAGTAGTTCGAGTGGATGCCATCAAGTTTAACAAAGAGGTGTTTGGGAATATCCTTACGAGGAAGAAGGCTCTCCAACGTCGTCTTAAAGGGGTACAACTACAACTAGAGAGAGGGGATTCAGAGAGCCTGTCGCGCTTGGAGAAAGCTATACAAATGGAGTTGGACGAAACTTGTCTTCAGGAGGAGTATCTATGGTTTCAGAAATCTAGAGAGTAGTGGGTGAAGTTTGGGGACCGTAACACGTCCTTCTTCCATGCTCAAACACTCGCGAGAAGACGGAGGAACAAAATACAGGGGTTGTTTTTACCAGATGGAACTTGGCATACAGACCCTGTGGTCATGAAAACTGAGGCAGTCAGGTTCTATAAGGAGCTTTTCTCGGTTGACAATGATCAAGGGTCTCTAGACATGCATGCTGGGATTTCACCTACCTTGGGAGTTGAGGCCCGATCTGCCTTAACTGCCTCAGTCACGAAGGAGGAGGTTCGTCGGGCGGTGATGAGCATGAAGTCGTTCAAGGCACCAGGGATGGATGGGTTTCAACCGTTCTTTTTCAAGCAGTATTGGCCTATTGTGGGTGATGAACTATGGCGTACAGTGAGGGATGCCTTTCAGTTGGGGTACTCGGACTTATCACTATTGGAGACACAAATGGTGTTAATTCCGAAGGTGAACCACCCGGTTAGCCTCAAAGAATTTCGTCCTATTAGCTTATGCAACGTCGCCTGGAAGGTTATTTCTAAAGTGATTGTAGCTCGTCTTAGACCTTTCTTGCAGGGTGTCATTGGTCCTTTCCAGGGTAGCTTTATCCCTGGGAGGGGGACTCGTGACCACAATATTATTGCTCAGGAAGCCTTTCATTTCGTTCGGAAAGACGGCTCAGGAGTGGGTTCCTTGGCCTTAAAAATTGACCTTGAAAAGGCATACGACAGGGTCAGGTGGGAGTTCTTGGAGTCTACGCTGGTGCAGTTTGGGTTTCCTACAATCATAATTCAACTTATCATGTGGGGGTTGAAGAATTCGTCAATCTCACTCCTTTGGAATGGAAGCACACTACCTTCATTTGTCCCGTCTCGAGGCCTTCGGCAGGGAGACCCATTATCTCCATATCTATTCATTTTTTGCATGGAGCGCCTAGCCCTTAGGATTTCTGAGTTGCTCCAGGAGGGTCTTTAGAAATCGATTCAGCTATCTCCTGGGGGGCTACCGCTTTCACACCTTTTCTTTGCTGATGGTATCTTACTGTTTTGTCAAGCTTCAGAGGACCAGGCTCGTTTGGTGGCATCAATCTTGGAGGAGTTTTCGCGTTTATCAGGCTTAAGAGTCAATTTGACTAAGTCTAAGTTTGTGAGCTCTAGAAGAGTTTCACAGAGGAGGATAGATACGTTGGAAGGACTGCTAGGGATTGGCTATACGGCTCGGATCGGGAAGTATTTGGGTGTTCCCATGACTCATGGTCAGCCAAGGTGCGCAGATTTCTATGATGTGATGGATAAGATTCAGGGTAGACTTGCGGCTTGGAAGGCCAAGCTTCTTAATAAGGCAGGTAAGTTGTATCTGGTGAAGTCTACCATCTCCTCTATTCCCGTATATAGCATGCAATCATTGTGGCTTCCCCAAGCAGTGTGTAATAGAATTGATCAGACTTGCCGTCGTATGCTCTGGGCTAAGTCTGACAACACACGGTTTTGGTCTCCAGTGAGTTGGGATGTTGTTACTCAATCAAAAAAGTTAGGTGGCCTTGGGGTTAGGGAGGCGTGCAGGGTGAATGTATCGGGAAGCTAGTTTGGGATCTGCTTTCGGCTCCAGAGAAGCCTTGGGTTCAACTCCTCAGCAACCTTTATTTACATGGAGACTCTATCCTGTGTACTCAAAACAAGCGGGGTGCTTCTCCAATCTGGTCGAGTATTATTAAGGCCCTACCTTCACTCCGTGAGGGATTCAAGCCTCATCTAGGATCGGGCGCCTCATCACTTTGGTACACAGACAGGTAATGGGCTTTGGTGCAGGAAAGTCCCTTTTGTTCATATTGCGGACACCAACAAAAAGGTTGCCGACTGCTGGGTTAGTGGAGAATGGAGCTTCAATGCCTTGTATACGATTCTTCCGACCGAACTGATAAACTTGGTCCAACAGTTGAGTGTTGTCAATTCCCCTTTGGGGTTGGATCACTTTGCTTGGAGGGGTGATATCTCGGGTTGCTATACAACAGCATTTGGGTATCGTTTTCTAACCCCGGGTTTGGCAACGGAGGGGGATGCAGTTTGGAAGAAGCTTTGGAGGATCATGGTTCCTGAGAAGGTTAAGTTCTTTCTGTGGCAATGCCTTCATTCAGCCCTCCCAACGAATCAGGTTCGGGCTGATAGGAGGTTGGCAGAGTCAGGTGCATGCTCGCGTTGCTCTTGTCCTCATGAGACCATTTTACATGCTCTTCGGGATTGCCCATATTCGCGAGAGGTGCTGATGTCTGGCGGGTGCAGTGTGGGGTGGTCTTTCTCTGTAATGGATTGTTTTCAGTGGCTGAAGGGGATTATCTTGCACAAGGATGCGATTACGCTATCCATCACCTTGTGGTGGGTTTGGCGTTTTAGGAATAACATGGTATTTAACGACGAGCTCTGGCAAATTTCAGCGGTCCGTCGGAAGGTGATACTATCTACGGTGGAGATTAGTGCGTATAACGCTAAGAGGCGCTCGTGGGTGGAGCAAGCCCTTTGGAGGCCTCCAGAGCACCTGTGGGTCAGGCTAAACACGGACGAGAGTTGGTTGAGTGAGACTTCTGCTATGGGGATGGGTGGGTAATTCGTGATTGGGCAGGTATGTGGCGGGGGGGCTTTTCGCGTGGAGGCTTACATGGTGATGCGTTACGTACTGAGTTGTTAGCCTTGGATGAGGGCCTATTGTTTTGTTGGGAAGGTGGGTTTCAGAAGGTGACTTGTGAATGTGATTGCCTGGGAGCTGTTACGTTGTTTCAAGATCGGCCAACGGATAGGGATTACCTGCACAAGCACTATGATGTTATTTGTCGTGTTCAGCAAATGCTAGCTCGGGATTGGGTAGTTTACGTAAGTCATATTCCTCGAGAAATAAATTCAGTAGCTCATACGCTTGCTAATTGGGGTGTACGGAACCTAGGTTCCAATGTATTTTGGAGGAGTCCTCGAGATTTTATTTTGCTTCCGTTAGGGGAAGACTCTATATCTTGAGTTTGTCTGCTTTGTTTAGTTTTCATATTTTACAAAAAAAAAACATTATCGTCCAAAAAACAAAAAAAAATATTTAAACCTTTCATATATTATTATTAACTACAATTAAGAGTAAATTAATAAACCAATATAAGAAACTACATCCTACAATATAAATTGATGCTAAATAATAGTTAACATTAAATATGTGTTTTTCAATTGATTTTTAAGTAATATTTATTTAAGAAAGTTGTTTTACAAATACAAAAATGTTTTTTTTAAATAAACTAATTCAAAGACATACTTTTTTAATTCTCCATCTCTTCTGAAACAATTACATAATAATTAAAAAGGGAAAAATAAAATCCTAAAGTATTAAAAAACTGACGATCTCAGGATTATATATTCTTGATATTTTCATAATTTAATAATAAAAATTCTTTTTAAAAATGGTAATGTTCTTTCTATTCACAATAAAGGGTGGGATGTAAATATAATCACTAGATATAGTGGTAAAGATTGAATTCAAATTTTAATGTGTTGTTATCGCAATTTCACTAATAAAAAATGAATAAAGGTGTATTTTGGAAAGGTTGTTATAAATAAACAGATACATTTTGTTGATCTCATTTTGACTACATTTTTTTCTCATTTATTTATTTTCTTATTTATTTATTTTCTTATATTTATTATTAATTTCATTTTCCATATTTTATTCTATTAATCTCTTTCATTCTCCACCCCGATTTACTAGGTTGAGGAATTTTCATTTTAGGACCCTGGAAATGGAAAAAAAAAAAGAAAAAAGGGTGTATTATTGAAGTATAGTTGTTTTTGGTTTTGTATTTATCGTATGTAACAAAAGAAAAAAGTACATTGTCCTGGTAAAAGCGTAAAACTGAAAAAAGGTAGGACAAGTTAAAGCATAGTAATTAGAGAATGATCTGAAATGTGAGGGCCACGTGGCAAAAAAGGAAAAGATGGAGAAAGATTCTGTGGGCTGTGAAAAGGCAACAGAGTCCGAGAGAGAAGAAATAGACGACGAAAAAGAGGCGACAAAATAAGCGTCGGTGTGGAAACAAAATAGCGTTTGAGGCCCAAAAAGAAAATTCTGAGACGTTTCCCAGAAGTTTCTCACCCTCCGTACTTTTTCAACTTTTCCTGCTCCCACCCAAAAACAGCACTAACTCACGTTTTCTCTATTTATTTTGGTTTCCCAGTCAAACTCAACTGTTGAACTTTACGTGACTCAGAAAACCTACTTACTTGGGAACAAATAACAATGCGCGGCAGCTATGTGGAGAGGTCAAGCGCCGTCGCCAGAGAGAAGCGCGCTTTGGATTCCGCTTCCGCTTCCGCCGAAGAACCTCAACCTGATCGGAAACGGCCTGCTTTGGCTAGGTAATGCTACCTTTTGCTTGCAATGTTCGCGTCTAAATTGTTACTGACTTTCAGTTGTCACCTTCTCTGCTTTTAATTCATACCTTCAATTCTTTATGTGAGGAAGAAAACGCGGAAATGTGTTGTTTCCGTTCGAGTTAGCCAGGTGTGATACAACGGGAGTTCAGCTGAGTTTACGTTTCAACAAATTCTTTGAATAAAGCAAAAGAGCTTTACAAAGCTTAGCTCTTTATTTTTAGTAAACAAACTTTCGGAAACTCTTTTAACTGTGGAGCCATGCTTATGCTTGCTTCGCTACTTCTTAATGTTAGCTTAAGCATTATGTTTTTTTCAACTTTGAAAGCTTATTTTGGTGCCTTGAACTTGGTTATGAATTCATTTATTGCTTTTATTCATTTATTTATGTTTATCTGCAGCGTAATTGTTGAGGCCCTGAAAGTGGACAGTCTGCAAAAACTCTGCTCATCGCTGGAGCCTATTCTACGCAGAGTTGTAAGAAAATTCAGTTCATTGTGGTATTAATTCTTAATATGTTCATCTGATCATTTTGTGAATTTTTTAGTTGATTTATTGGAATTAGATCCTCAAGTTATCACTTGCATAGTCTACTGCTCACCTAATCAGCCACATAAACTGCAACCCCTGTAGTTAAATTTTATTTTACTTTAAGCGGATACGCCCTGACTTGATCAGAAGCTTGATAGAATTGGGTAGGAAATTGGTGATATCATATTCAAAACCTTAAAAATTAATTATATAATTTTTTCCTTTTGATTTGCTCTAAACGGCCTTTCACATCCTAGAAACAGCTTCTCTGCATGTGGACAAGGCTGCTTACATATATCCATCCCAAACCCCATTAGGTGGGACTCCGTGGGAGCCTCATGCACTAGGTCTCCCTTTTTGTTCTTCTAAAATAGGCTTTTTGGAACAAGTTGTCCCGTATTGTGTGTATGTCTGAGTGTTATCGAATATAATTTAATGGAGCAGCTATATAAATGAAGTCAATGTACGCTACTTTGCATGAATAATGTTTGATCAAATATGTGTCTTATTTCTTAATTTTATGCTTGTTTCTGAACAGGTTAGTGAAGAAGTTGAGCGTGCATTGGCAAAACTAGGCCCTTCCAAGCTTACTGGCAGGTAATGTTTTTGTTCCCTCTTCTTGTTTAAGAAATGTGTATATCAGATGAATGAACACAACACATGATTCTTCTGCTCTTTTGCTGCTTAAGTGCTAATGCTTTCATGGCAAGATTATATCCTGCAACAACTTGCTTTACTAGAGGTTGGAATGATGGAATTAGATAGATTGTCTTAAGCTAATGGAGATCCTGTTATATTTTAAAGTAAAAAATTTAGTGACCCATATTTTTTTTTTTTTTTTGTGATTAGTGTGTTAATTTCAGGTTCAGCTTATCTTATCGCCATGAGTTTATAATATCTATATTCTATAATTAGTCTCTCTAATACTCAATGTAAAAATTCAGGTCTTCACCAAAGCGAATAGAAGGCCCTGATGGCAAAAATTTACAATTGCATTTCAAGACCAGGCTGTCCCTTCCCCTCTTTACTGGTGGTAAAGTGGAGGGCGAGCAGGGGGCAGCCATACATATTGTTTTGATTGATGCAAACACAGGCCATATTGTCACATCAGGGCCTGAGTCGTGTGCCAAACTAGATATTATTGTACTAGAGGGAGATTTCAATAACGAGGATGATGATAATTGGAACGAAGAAGAGTTTGATAGTCATGTTGTGAAAGAGCGGGAAGGAAAAAGGCCTCTTCTAACTGGTGATCTGCAAGTCACACTGAAGGATGGTGTAGGAACACTGGGTGAGCTTACATTTACAGACAACTCTAGCTGGATAAGGAGTAGGAAGTTTAGATTGGGGCTGAAAGTTGCCCCAGGTTGTTGCGAGGGAATGCGTATTCGTGAAGCCAAATCAGAACCTTTCACTGTCAAGGATCATCGTGGAGAATGTAAGTTTATAACTTCCTTATACTTGTTGTATCTTTCTAGTGTTGTTGTATTGAAACTTCAACTGAATTCTAGTATACAAGAAACACTATCCCCCTGCCTTGAATGACGAGGTCTGGAGATTGGAGAAGATTGGCAAGGATGGGTCATTTCACAAAAGGCTAAACAAAGCTGGAATATATACTGTTGAGGACTTCCTAAGACTTGTGGTCAGAGACCCTCAGAGATTGCGGAATGTAAGAATCCATATTTTTGTTCTTTTTGGATTTTAATGTCAATGTATCAAATGTTCAATCCCTTGGTTTTGTATTTGAATTGATGATTTTAAATTATTTCACCTGTCAAAGGTTTTTATAGGTTAACTATACTTCTTGTTGTAGATTCTTGGGAGCGGCATGTCAAATAAGATGTGGGATATTCTTGTTGAGCATGCAAAGACTTGTGTTCTCAGTGGAAAACTTTATGTATACCATCCGGACGATGCAAGAAATGTGGGCGTTGTTTTCAATAACATTTATGAATTGAGTGGCTTAATTGCCAATGACCAATATTACTCAGCTGAGTCTCTCTCTGAGAACCAAAAGGTTAGTAAACCTCTGCAGAAAAACTTCCTTTTATGTTTGAATTTGCTCCATAATGTTGAGTTTCTTCCGTAGTATGATTAACCTGATTTCATATGCCATATGATAAAATTTCTGCTTTTCCGTGCAACTAAAGTTCATAAATTGATTTTAGCTAATGGGAAAAACTCTTTTTCTTTCTTTTTCTTTCTTTTTCTTTTCTATTTGTGTTTATGGAGAAGTTTATTCAAATAGAACCTTTGTGTAAATAGGTTGCCTTGGCAGTTGGCTTAATACAACTTGTATATATGCCACTTACTATGTCTTACAAGTGTTACGAAGACAAGGCGGGAATTTTTTCTCTTTCATGAAAGAAAAAATGGAGATGGAAAAAGATGTTATAAGTTCTTCAAAACCAAAACCATAGGTAAAGAAAAAAGATGAATTTTCTGAAACTGTGTTTATGTTGTAGGTCTATGTAGACACGCTGGTGAAGAAAGCATATGAGAATTGGATGCATGTTATTGAATACGATGGGAAGTCTCTCCTCAATCAGGATAAGACTTTGGATACCGCTCACCCTGAGGCTCCAATGGCTTCCCATGAGTATACAAACTCACTTCAGCAGATTCCCATCCCAACTTTGCCACTTCCAGTACATGCTGGCCAGCCTTCAATGGATGCAGGAGTAACAGTTGGAGGTACATACTTCCTAGTGAAGTATTATTGTATTAGCAACACAAGCAAAAGGCGTTTTGCAGTTATCCTGGGTTTACGCTATTTTCTGAACCCCCTTCTTTTTATCTTATCCTGCAATTTTTCTTTTCTTTATTTTTTTTCACTTTTCATACACCCAGGACCCAATTATTTTTCTCTTCAAAACCCCACTTCTCCAAAAATGGACAGGTTTTATGTTGTTTTGTGAATATGCGCAGAACGGATTAAATTAGTTTTGAAGAGAAAATTCATTAAATCCAATCCCATTATTTTTTTATCATTCAATCAATTTAATTCTAAATTCAAATCTGGTCCAATTCCAAAAAAAACGATTTAGATTTGATTACTGTGTTGGTTTTGATATTAGTTTTTTTTTTAATAAAGAGACAATAAATAAACATTAAATTATAAAATAAATATCATATAAATTAGTTAGAAGTATTAAGGACATGTTTGAACTTTGAATAAATATAAATTTCTCTATAACCACTTTTAAGAGAAGAAATAGAGAAATAAAATAAATTTCTCCATAAATTAAAATTAGTTTATATATATATATATATATATATATATATATATAATGTGCATAAGCTAATTTAAACTTTTGGAGAATTTTTTTTTCTTCTATAAGTATTTATGGTGAAATTTATTTAAACAATTCCTAAATATAACCTTATTGATTCTACCAAAGCTCATGTTTGAACGTTGAACTCGTTCATGAATA